AAAAGTTAAAAAGTTTAAAAGTCTAAACACTCTTCAGCAAAGTAGCAAACTGTTGGGCGTGGTTATCTCTGAATGGTGGAGCCAGAGGGACCTTTACTCCAAGAACTGGTGGATATTTTACTCTGTGACCTTGACCAGAAGAGTTTGGATTTAGAGTCAAATCAGCCAGCAGCTTGCCTTTCAGGATGCAGCTTAGGTGTTACCTCCTCCAGGAAGGCTTCCCTGATCTCCCCTGATTTCCTTGCCTTCTTTCTGCTCCCACAGTATCCTATCCTCCTCTATCACAGCATATCAACTGCCTGTTTTCTGCTTTTGTTTGTTTGTTTTAATCTGCTTTTCCCACTAGGCCATGAGGTCCCGGCTCATAGTTTTTTGTCTGCCTTTCCCTAGATCGTGAGCTGTCCCAGGGCCTGGAACAGAGGAGACACTCCGTGAACACTGAACTGTGGCCACATTCAATTCCCTGGGCTCTGCCCCTTCCTCCCGGGGGCTTCCTTGAGACCTGTGTCCCGGGGCTCTGGACGGGGCTGGGAGACTCACAAATGCCCTGGTGTACTGGTTCAGCATGAAGTCGCTGCTGAGGGCGTGCTGAAATGCTTCCACAGCGAAATCTGGGGGTGGGAAGTCGGGGAAGCCTTGGCCCAAGTTCACAGCATCGCACTCACTGGCCATTTTCACAAACTCCACCCTGAGCAACAAATGGAGAGTCAGCACCTGCCCGCCTGGACCTGCTTCCAGGACAGGATGATGCACTGGGCTCATTCCAGAACAACCGGAGAGCTGGCACCTGCCCCAGCCCGAGACCTGCGTGAGGGTCCAAACCCACAGGTCCCTGATCTGAGGTCGGGTGGGCCAAGCACTGTACCAATCCCACATCTTAGCCCCCCGGGATTTCCAACTTTCCGACCAGGATCCATGGTAAGAAATGCTCACATCACAAACCACACGGAGCACAAACATGGAATCCGTGTTCTCCTTCCGGTGTGGTCAATCACAGGACTTCCCAGCCTATCCTGCCCTGCCTCATCCCACTTTATTCTTTGGATATATTTGTGGAGACTCCGCAGGTGGATTTCACACACCATTAGTGCATCTGTCGGCACCACAGCTGGACCACCAGGCCTCCCATCAGCCACTTCTGGCCTCCGACAACCTTTCTTCTGGCCCTACCTGGTGGCCACCTCTTCAGGGAAATGGGAGAGGCTGAGAGGCTGGATGAGGAGGCTGGTGTGTGGTCTGCAGGTTGGTTGGGAGCAGAGGAGTCAGGCTTGGCCGAGTTGAATTTGCATAACAATAAATAACTGTTCCATCGAAAATCTGTCCTTTTCTTCCCAGAGCCCCACAATGCCTCTGAAGATACACAGAGCTGCTGAGGCTCAGAAAGGCTAGTGACCTGCCCAGAGTCACACAGCAGCTAATAGCAGAGCTGAGAGGCAAAATCAGCTGGTGGACATTCCATGGTGATTGGGTGATGGGGACAGGGGACAGCCAGGCTCAAATGCCCTACAGAGTCCAGCTGCCCTCTGGGTTGGGTCTCTCAGGTCCTGATCCCCAGGCCACCACCCTCGGGTCAGCAGGAACCTGGGACCCTTTTTTGTCCTGACTCTCTTGGTCTCATCCTCCTGGCACCCGCCC